GGAGACCATCTCCACAAGCCATTTCTGAAAACATGGGGGAGCAGTGGCTTTCCAATCCCTTAATATAATTCTCTTGGCCACAACCATGCCCAACATTAATGCCAACTGCAAATGATAAGGCAAAGAGGAAACTGTGTCAGAATAGCCAAGAATGGCCAATTCTACTAACTTTTCAAAGCACAGCTTTTTGCATGTTTAGGATGAGGTTTTATGATGATTAAAAGCAGAATTGGAATGTTTTCTGTGGTTTATATTGAGTTGTTGTTTTTTCGGATACCTGGCATGACGGGCAGCGTGTCCCTCTGTTTGCTGGGATGGGCTGTAGGGTGCACCAGGTCAATGATGTCATGATCTACAGGGCTGGGATGTCGAGCGTAAGAGTCCGGACGCTCGCCTGCAGATATTCCCGTCCTCTCATCGTCCTCCTCCAGAGAGCCGATGGTCTCCTCAAAGAACAAAATACACTCCCGCTCCTCCAGACTGAGGAACTGCAGATCATCATCCTAGAGAGAGAGACAAGCGTCAAGTAATGCACACTATGTTTTTTCAAATGTTTTTGAAAGAAGTCTCTTATGCTCACTAAGGCTGCATTTACTTGATCGAAAATGCAGTAAAAATTGTGAAATATTATTGTAATTTAAAATAGATGTTTTCTATGAAAATATATATTAAAATGTAATTTATTGCTGTGAATTTTCAGCATCATTACTCCAGTCTTCAATGTCACATGATCCTTCAGAAATCATTCTAATATATATATATAATAGACTATACTTCTTTTTTTAATCTTACTTCTACAAAACTTTTGAATGGCAGTGTATCACTATTCCCGCAAAAATATGAAGCGCAGTGAACTTTAGAACTAAAATAATATATAATAAAAACATATATATATAAATATGAATAACTAAATGAATATTAGAAATGTTGCCTTGGCTGCTAACTCAAATGCAGTAAATAAAGTAAATTACTAACTGAAAATAAATAAACTAAACTGAAAGTATTCCGTGAGTGTAGTAACCGTCCATTACGGCTGCACAATTCATCCAAATAAAACAGAAATCATAATTATTTAATCTCAAAGGGTGTGTGTTCTTTCACCCGCCCCCCCAAAGTACCAAAGTGCACCCTTTCGTAAACGTGAGTTCATTTCCTGTTCAAAAAGATTTGCATAATCTTGGAAATTTAAACCATTCCAAGTGAGTTGGATAATTTAATTTTGTGTTCCCCAAACTGTTCACGAGTTGATGGAAAAACAAATAATTCAATCATAATATAAACTTGACATAAACCCATATTTTTAAACCAAAAACAAAGTGTTTGGGAATCTCTGGTTTAACTTGTTTATGATGTTGTATTATGCAAATTCAAATCTACACGACCTACACGAAAGTCTTAATGACTGAATTTGTTTCCCATAATCATAAACCTGTTGATTTAAAGTTTATTATTTAAATATTAACCCAAAATCGGCAACACTTTACTTTTACCTGTTACCTTAAAATCTAATATTTAGCTCAAATGGGTTCAGCTGACAAAATATTTTGGGAATCTCTAGTGTGTTAATGACATGATGCATTATTCACTGTAATCTACACTGAATTTGTTTCCCATAATCTTAAAACCTGTTGATTTAAACAATGCATGAGCTTTGTGGCCTCCAGAGATCAGTCGGCTGTGTTTCAGAGGTGGACGCCTTGCTAAAGTGCCTCTCCCTGCTCAACAGCAGAACACAGACTCCACTCACACTCTCGCTCAGGTGGGTGTGTGTGTGTGTGTGTGTGTGTGAGAACAGTGGGCTGCTTGTTCATCGCCCCGCGAACACACCCTTCACCCTGAACTCTGTAAGCCGTGCTGTCCGCGCGCACATTGCATCACTTTGTGAGCTGGTTTTAGTCTGTGTCATTAGATATTCAGACAACAAGCAGCAGACAGAAGCAGGACCGGCTTTTCTTCTCTGCTCGAGGTTTGTAGAGAACAGCTGATGGTTTGAGTGCAATTCCTTTATCTCAAACACAGGTCTGGAGTCTTTTGTTCAAACAGTTATCAAGTTACAGTCAACACAATCATGTCATGAGGAAATGATTGAGTGTGTGAGAGAGAGACCCATCAGAACGGTTTGTGGCATATAAATATAGTATGTCTAAATAATAATTAAGAGAGTATGCATTCTACTACTAATATTTATACACCGTATATATATATATACACATGTATAATTGTGCATAGCACAGTATGCACTTTTTATGCACATAATAATTCCCTGATGACCTACTATTTTTTTTTTTGCTAAAAGTCTGCCAAGACTGGAAAAAAGTTGCTCTAAACTTACAAAATTAATTGAAAATTGAATAATCATTAAACATCTTTTTGATGCACAATTCAATCAATAGGAAGAGCTCATCCTGTGCCAAATAGCATGTGTGTTTAAGATGCATGCTTTTCACTGGATTGTTTAATGTTTATAAGATGATAAATCTTAAAAATATAAGATGTTAAAATAATGCAGACTTTGTTTCCTAAAGAAAACATGAGTGATGTTTGCACATGCAAAAGTTGCCAACATAATACTAGGCATTAATATACTATCATAGTTTTTATTCATATTTTAAATTGAATATTTTAAAGTAATGAATATTCTGAAGACTTTTTAGTTTTATTTTCATTTTAGTTACATTTTAAAATGTTTTTTTTTTGTGATTTTTATTTTTTTTGTTTGTTAGTTAATCTATATTGATTAGTTAGTCTTTATAGTTATTTTTTATTTATTTCAGATTTAATTATTTTAGTACATCAACTTACACTAAATGGAAATTAGCCTTGGCAACTAGCTGAAATAAAATATATTTATATATTTAAAATAGATATAATATTTTATTTCAGTTAAAATGTATCTTTTTTTAAATTATATTATTGTATAACAAATGTTATATAATGTTTCAATCTTTTAAAATTTATTTTTTATTTCAAGTGACAGGTTTTTCTATGTTTTTTTTTTTATATAACTATAATAACCCTAATTGCAATGTGGTTTTAATAATCTGGTCTCTAAATATGACTCGGGTTCCTCATTAAAATCGTCCACCTTCACCAATTAAACAGGTGGAAAAATGCCACAGACTTAATTGTAATAGTTTTCGGATTACTTGAAGTCTCCTCAATAACACACATGAATCATTCGTGTCAAACAGACATACTTTAGGGTTTGTTCTAATCACTAATCCTAAGTGTGAGCGGTAATGATAGTGATACTTGTCTTAAAACCACCTGTATCATTCAGAACCTGCTGGTTTTGTGTAGATGTTTCGCATGCTGCTCGACTGCATTCTTGTCTTTACTACAGAATCACGTTCCTCTGAGAGTTCAGCGAATGAGACTCGGTGAGTGATGCTCTCTAACACACACCACACCTGTCCTCCCAAACACAATGAGCGTCCTGTCATGCTTTAGAGATGAAGGAACTGGTTTCTCTGCTTGTGTGATTTCGGCATGAATCAGTGTTTGTGAATGTCTGGGTTATTTCCTTCCTTCATGGAAAAAAACGCTTCATATATATAATGTTCTAATCACAAATAAGATACACATACTTGTCTTTACTACAGAATCACGTTCCTCTGAGAGTTCAGCGAATGAGACTCGGTGAGTGATGCTCTCTAACACACACCACACCTGTCCTCCCAAACACAATGAGCGTCCTGTCATGCTTTAGAGATGAAGGAACTGGTTTCTCTGCTTGTGTGATTTCGGCATGAATCAGTGTTTGTGAATGTCTGGGTTATTTCCTTCCTTCAGAGAAAAAAACGCTTCATATATATAATGTTCTAATCACAAATAAGATACACATATCTCAATACACATCCTGATTAATACTCACAGGACAGTCGTTAAGGCCGTAGTGAAGCGTCCGGCTCTTGTGCATGTGAACATCCATGCTTACAGCATCCAGGGCTCGGCGTCTCGTGAAAGAGTCGGGCAGTAAAGGTCAGGGGTCGTGTGAAATGGTCCGAGCATCTCCACGTACCCGACTGACCAGTTTCACATGATGCACCTGGAACAAACAACATAAACATATATCGTTAAAATGAATGAACTGCTGGTGTCAGATCACTGAGGAATATTGTGTTTGTCACACAGATCTCCTGAGGACTGACTACAGCACTTCTGATCTGCCAAAAACACAATTAGACGAGTAATTATTTAACATTTCCCTCAAAATAATTATTTACTTGGAATATATTTACTAATATTGGCTAAACAATATTGATGAAAACAAATAAAACACTAAACTATTGATTGGAACACCGTAAAACAAAAAATTCTAAACAGATTACTGGAATAATATTTCAGTCAAAATGTCACATGTAATGTGTTACTAAACATTTGTTTGTAATTGTGGAATTTACTAGCAATTTCTGAGTGAAAACTGTTTTTTTCAGTGTAATAACATGCAGTAAAAGAAACACAAGTGTAAAAATCTGGTCTTGTGAATCACTGTTATAACGCAATTCATTCCAATATAAACAAAACGAAACACGAACAAACGAAATAACGTATTTTATGTTATAAAGAAAAATTAAGGTTTCACGCTTTTGTTTTTGGTTTTTTTTGCATTGTGACTCTTTCCCTGACAAACAATTCCCATTACACTATTAAAAATGATCAGTTAAATTCAGTACAATAAATAGTACACCGTATACTTCATTGTCATGAAAATAATAAGTAAATAACTAAATACAACAACATATATTTTCGTTGTGAAAATAACGACCTGGACACGTTTACATGAGATTCACCCAAACACTCCACTCTATAAAGTTAGAGAAATATAAAGACTTTTAGAGGAATTAGTTCAACTTACTCAAACATCGTGAAACGGCTGAGAAGAGCAAGTTAGAGACGAATAACCCGAGAGTCACACAGTTCTGTCTCAGTGACGCGACGCGACTGAACGCGTTTAAATCAGACCCCGCGCCGCGTCTCCTCTTACGCACAGCGCGCTCATGATGACGAAGACACGGGGCTCCTCCTAAATCTCTGAGCAAACACGGCTGATAGATTCATGATTGATAAACAAGTGGGTTCGCTGCTCTTAGAATTAAAATAACTGAAAAATGTAGGAACGGTCTGTGTTTTTGTGACGTCAGCACTGAGCGCGTGTCCTCAGCGCTATTCTCTCGCGCCCTCTTGTGGCAGGTGCCTTCTATTACATATAAATCATATTTAATACAAATAATAATAATAATGGTTGATATCAGAATTATATTAGTGTGAATCTCATATCCAAGTATATTTAATAAATTAAAATGAATAAATAATAAATGTAAAAAAAATTCTACGTCAATTTAAAAGATAAACCATTCAGAGATTTGATTTTGAAAATCAAAATGTACTAATCCTTGGACTATTGTTTATCATTTTTATTTATTTTGCAATTTGATCGATATTATCCATGTTCAAATACTTACAAATATTTTTAAGCATTTAAAATACTTTTAAAAGAGAGGGCTTCGTCGATGTGTTTCAATGCACACATTTTAATTTAATTTTTTTTTTTTTTTCAGTAAAACATACATTTATAATTTATATTTAACACCAAATCCAAGTTTAGCATAAATTACCACACTGAAATATTAAAGTAGGAGGTCGTTGTCATAAAACATTTTTTTTATCAATGTTTTGGTTTATGCAAAAGAAGAAACCTCCCAAGCAAATGTAAGTTTTATTCGATTGTAATTTATTTTATTAAATGCATGACATTTTAACATGGATATCTGGGTCCAGAAACCTTTCAAATATTGCAAATGCCAAAAATATAAAAAAAATTGTAAGAGATTCAAGTTCAAGGTTACAAAAAGGAAATAGTGGTGAGATACTGTCCTTGATTTATTAGGAAGAGCTTTGCATTGGTAATATCTGTGCAACACTTTAAACTGAACTTCCTTTGCTTTTTTGAGGCAGTAAAATTGTATTAGTCTCAGAGCAAATCTCATGAGTGGAAACCATATTTGGATTAATATCTGAACTGTATATATGGTGGAGCAAAGCACTGCAGCTGTACAAAACAAACGTGGAGGCGTTCTAAGCATTACCTGTCCATGAGCAGATCTCCATTAAACCAATGTCTGTCCGTGAAACGAGACTCTTCTGTTGGTCCAAAACATTCCAGATCAGAAACCAAACCAATCCCAAAGCTGAAGATTAGATCAAATGTAGTTTATTGCAGTAAAAAAAATAAAACTATGTACATGTCTTTAGAAATAAACTGCATTCGTGTAATTCGCACAATTCACCACAGGAGGGCGCTGAAACTCTAAATATATATTACACATATAATACATATTTAGTAAATAAAAGGGATAATTTGATAGACAAACAGCCCAATGCCTTATTATTCAGCTTCATAATGTGAATATCAGAGTGTGATTGTGAGGATAACTACTATCGATTAAACGTCTGTCAGCACGAGAGCAGCAAAACAAAGCCTTTGAAAACCCATCACAGAAGAGGAGACTGTCAAAAAACATTAAGAGTAGCAATTAATACTCATTGCTTTGCATAAATTGCAACACAAACTAAGCATGTATCATATTTGGTATACGCGAATTGCTTTATGTGAAGTTTATATTGTTTGATAGTTTGTTTTTTTTTTTTTTGTTCATATCTCTATCATTGAATAGCATAGCTTTGATCATAAAACTAAGCATTTATATATCATCTTAAGACATATTATTGGAAATATAGAGTGACGACTCATTATTTATGTCTTTTTTTTAATCTAAGTATCTGCTGTGCTGTTATGAAGATCTCACTGATTTACATTACAAGCATCAGAATTTCATCAAATAATTGTTTTTTCAAATCAGCAGATTTCATATTTTTGCTCAGTTTGTGTCTCTGAATAAAGCGGAGCTGTTTTTCCTCTATATTCTCATTATATCACACGGTTCGAGCCAGATGCATCAAATATGACACATAACATATGCATTTTGTCTTTTATATCTCGTCTAAAGGTTCAAGATCCTCATCCATTTAACCCAAAAAAGGATATTGCTGATTATTGTTTCATATGTCAGGCTTTAAGCATTTTTTGTTTTAAATGTTTTGCTTGTGAAGTGCACTATTTTTCTCTACAAACCACGACATTTGCTTTCTTTTTTGGTTATTAAATACAATGCATGTAAGACAGAACTAATTAGAATTTAAGTGTCCAAATAATGTTAAGGTCACAGTAATAAACTGTGCATTTAACTGTGCATTCTGAATTTAAAGTGGGCTTGTTTGGGGTCAGAGGTCACGCGATCAGCAGCACCTGATTCCGTCCTGCTGCTGTCATTGATGAAGAAGGGTCAGAGATGAAGAATCAGCGCTCATCTTCCTCCTCAGGATCCTCCAAGACGCCCCGCTGCACTTCAGAAGGTTTGACGCGTTGTAAAATCCGCCTAAAATCATATTTAATTACCGCTAATAAAAAGTAAATGAGCACCACCGGATGTGCGGTATTATATTCAAAATAAAAGTCTTTTTTTTTCTTTCTTTTTTTTTCTTTTTTTTTATTGCGAAACCGTGAACATTTACAAGCACAAATTCGACGTGAATAAAACTGCACAGATTATTATAATAAATACCACCACTAAATAAAGCAATATAATAAGTAAATAAACAAAAAAAAATAAAACCGTACATGTCTTTAGAAATAAACTGCATTCATGTAATTCACACAATTCACCACAGGAGGGCGATGAAACTCAAAATATATATATTACACATATAATACATATTTAGTAAATAAAAGGGATAATTTGACATATTTTAAGCTTCTCGTGGTAATTGACAGTTTTTTTTTTTTTTAATCATTGCACATTAATTTAATGCAAGGTTTTCCTCTGAATCGTGTTTTATCTGTAGAAATAAATCGCATGAATGTAATTCACACAATTCACCACAGGATTGTAAACTCAAATTCTAAATGTATATTAAAAATTTAGAAATATATTTAGAGTAAATAAAATAAAATAAATTTAACAGACGTTTTTCTGCTTCTCATGGTAATAATAACTCATTAAATATTAAATCATTGCGAAATATGGTTTCACTCTTAAAGACGTAGAAATAACTGACATCAGTGTAATTACTACAGCTTCTCTGACTCGCATTTTATTAATATATTATGTATTTATTTTAACAACTACAGCAATACATAAAGAATGATACAATCCATGCAAGGACTTTTGTCGTTTTTTCCCTCTTAATTTATTGACCTAAAATGATATTTATTTAACAAAAAAATAAAAAAATAAACATTTACCAGATGTTTTGTTGTCGCCCATTATAATAAAAATATATATTTAATAATTCTGAATCAATGCAAAATTATTTAATGGAAGAATTTGACTCCAGTTTTAGTCGTAGAAGTAACAGCAGTGTAATTCACACAATTCACCACAAGAAGGCGCACAGATATAATTAGAATAGATCTCTAAAGAACAGAATGACATCTAGAGAGTTCAGCTTGAAACTAGGCTCATTTTTTGTGTTGAAATTGTTGAACGTTACATTATACATGCAGTTCATACAGTCACGTGACTTGAACACATCTCAATGTGTCACAGATGATCAGGTGAGCAATACATTTCAAAGAGTGAATAAACCTGGTTTTTCTCTATTATTTTGTCTGATTGTGCAGTTCTATATTAAAGATGATTTTTGAGAAGCTGCTCCTGTTTTTAACTGCTGTAGTTTTAGTCAACATCAAGTCAAATGTACATGCTGCTTTTATTCTGAGTGCACAAATAAAAACCTTTTTCTCAATTAATTTTTAATTTCATTCAATATGTCACATTCAATATGTTACTTCAAATGCATGTCTGACAAATGAAGTTTGAGGGTGTATAATATTTGTATATTTTCATGAACATGAGCTTCACTGTCGACTGAAACATGTCTATAACACACTCAATGTTATATAATTAAACACAATTTTATAACAATTGTATCTCTGAGGACTCATAAATGTCACCTAAACTGCAGGAATTTGTGCTTTTAATAAAAGTAACGATCATAGATGGTGTCTGAAAGAAATAGCCATTTCTTTGCTGTTTTCATATCTGTATGATCTGATGTATATCAGGAACTTTGTGTTAAGTTCATTAAAGTCAAATATATTGTCACACGAGTGTCAATAAAGTCTCTCTGGGTTCATGGGATCTTCTGGTGTGTCTCGTCTGAGTGATTCTTGAAGGAATAAATCATAAATCAGCTCATTTAAGACTCTAATCAGCTACAGCAGCAAACACTGACACTAAACTGACGAGCATCTCATGACACGAGTCAGAAACAGTTTGTGATTCGTCCCAAAACAATAAACGAGCTTCAGCCTCATCAAACACCAGCGTCTCAGAGCAGATGAGAAGAGCTTCAGCAGGAGCTCCTCAGACTCTCTTTGCTAGTTACAGACACTAACTAGTCGTCTGACCAGGATCACATGTGGCTTGTGAGGAGCTCAGTTCCAGTCACAGGCCGCTGCTGTTGTTTTCTGTGTTTGCAAGGTATTGTGGGAATTTGAGTTTGTGAAGGATTGAGATAAACTCCTCCAAAAACACAGCTGGATGAAGAAAAGCCAGCGGCTCAGTGGTCTGAGTCTCACTTCTTCACGTGGAGTATCTGAGTTCAGACCTCGCTCTTGTTACGATGTTTTTGCAGGAATGAGACAAAACTCAAATGAAGAGCAGCGTCAGCAAAGCAGCAGTGGCTCGTGGTCTGAACATCAGCTCTTCATGCAGGAGGTCAGAGGTCAAATCTCAAACATTGAACAGTTCTTTAGTTCCACTGGTTTTTGACTGAATGAGACTAAACTCAAACGAAGAGAAGTGGCTCAGTGGTTTAAACGTGTCTTTATAACACAGGCTGTCTGGGTTCAAACCTCGCTCTTGTGGTTAAAATGAGTTTTTGCTGTTTCTGAATGAAGAAGAGA